TCTTCAGTCTGCAGGCCGCCGCCGTATCCACTGAGCCAAACTGGTTAGGGCTGTACCATGTTTCTATCTCTCTCTCTCTCTCTCCCTTCCTCTCTGAAATAAATAAAAATATATGAGAGAGAGAGAATATCATTCTGGCTGGCATGGAGGTAAGGAAAGAAAATTAAACTTGAAGAAAAGGGGCAGCAGGGAAACTATTATGGTAGCCCAGGAAAGAGATAAGGATAGCCTGGAATTTGAGAATAAAAATATAGATATGAAAAACTGGTTAGTCAGGCTTTCAATCTCTTCTCCAACGTATTTTTTTTGGTCCTGGAAGCATCCCCGAGTGTGAGATGTGGAACACCCTTTCTTGTGAAGAAGGCGCGGCAGAAGTGAATAGCCAGAGAAGGGTGGAACTGACACTAAGTGCTTCCTCAGCACCAAGATCTATGCTGGGCCTATTCCTCACAACAGCCCTGAATGAGGACACTGGTGCACGGGGAGGTTAAATAGTATGGGTGAGCCAAGGTCACACAGCCAGTAAGTGGTGGGCTTTTGAGCTTAAACCAGGTATCTCAGAATCTAGAATCCTATCTTTCAGGTTAAGGCCCTTGTGGGTAGTCATGTCCGCAGCTGTCCAAATATCACACCCGTCTGGCCTCTCAGTGTACCTCATTGATATTTTTTGTCCACATTCAACCTTCTTAGAGTCCACACTACATAATATCTCCAGCCCAAATTTTCTGCACTTGTAAATATCTTATGCTTATTTAGATATCCACCATAGCTACTTATGACTTTATAATATTTAAACATATGTGCTTTCAGAATATGTAAAAGAGGACTTTTTTTGTTTCCTCAGGATACATCTGATTGGGCCAGGACTATCCTTCAGAATTAGACAATAAATTTCATTTCACGTAACTCTTATCCGTCATTGTTGTTATAATAAGGCATTGTTGTCACATTTTCCATATTTGTTTTTTCTGTCCCCAAAGAGCCCTTTAAAGGGCTTCCATGTCTTTATCTCCATTATCCTTTATCTGAGATGAAAGCAAATCAATAAAGACATGTGAGAACTACTGTTAAGCATGCAATAGTTGAAGTGTATGTTCAGGACATTAAAACAATCAAGAGTTGTTTTCTGATTAATGGTCCATTTATTGATACCATCTTTTAACAAAGAAATTATTTCAGAGTATAAGATATATATGCCCATACTGCTTTGAACTTAATTATTTGCTTAGAGAGTATACATGTATATGTAAATGATGAATGTAATGCACTTATATGTTATAAAATGTGGTTTCTGATTATTAGTTATACACTACGCTTTACCTGTGAGTTGTGTAGTAATTGGTTCACAAACTCTCAAATTAGGGAACATTTAGGTTTCCCAAGGATGTACATGGAAGGAGCTAGAGTTTCATGATTAGATCAGATATTGCGTGGGTGGGATCACCACTGGGCAGCACTGAAAATCATCTGTTGGGTAAGGAGTAACAAAATTTGCAAGAAGGCATTTGTTTAAATTCTGGCAAAAGACATCCTGTCCTACACAGTTCACCAAGCCTCCCCTTTAAGAGAGTTTCCAAGCCCCGCGGAAGCTATGTGAGCACCAGTCTTGTCTCCTCTAACAGAATTTGCTGCTCCCTCCAGCTCTTGGTATCTTAATATCACCTTTCTTCACGAGACCTGGTGAAATAATCAGTAATCACAATATTTTACCAACTCTGAGAAAAGTTTAATGACAAGGACATTCATATTTACCTAAAATGAGTTTTCAAAAGGATGTTGGCGGCTTTCTTGTCATATCATAGAAAACCGAGGCTTGTCAGGAATTGTACTGAAGGAATTTGCATGGGGTAGAGAAGGTTTTGACACTGGTTGATTTCTAAAGCTCCTTGTAAGATTCCCATTGTAAGATTCTGTGATTCTAGGTACCCTGTATATTTTATGAAAACAGTTCAGAACTTCCATAAATGGTTAAACAGTTCCTTCTTATCTGCTAAAGAGGCCAAGTTAACATCCTGTCATAAGACAAGGATGTTGCATCACCCTGGGTGCTTTCAGGGATAATGGCCTGAAGATAATGAATTTACCAGGGGTGACTCAGTATTGAATCTTGCTATTGATAGCCAGCTCCTGCTCTGAGGGGATGGCCTGGCTTCCCTTCTACGTGTAACAACTGCAATTAAGAAATCATTCAAAATCTAGTCCCACAGTGTATGAGTCATTGGTGGCAGATTCAGGGAAATAAACTTGGCTCCTGCTGGAGAGATAGAAAAAACACACACAAAAAATTAGAAAATAAGTGCTCACCTGTGTGGTGTGGAGCACATGTGAAATAGGGTTTTAAGATAATCTGAATGTCCAGAAGGTTTTATTTAAGAGGCAGGATTGAACTGAATCTTGAAGCCTGGGTAAAGTGAAGATGAGTGGGGAGAAGAAGGCATTCGTGTGGGGTGTTGGGGAAATAATGAGAAGAGAGTAGACCCAGGTCAGCACAATAGAGGAGGCAGGCACTGAACTGTGGTAGGGACTGGCTTGACTGAGGCAAAGGGGAACAACAGAAACAAAGTGGACAGCCTGGGCAGGTAAGATGGAGTCACACGGCCTCAAAAGTGAGATAGAAGGTTCTGAAAGCTAAGCGCTAGTGTTCTCCAGTGTCGGTTCCCAGAAACTACCAGCATTTACCTCTCAGATACATTGCATGTGAGGCCCGTAGGCGGATTCAAATACAGATGCTGATGGCCATGGCAGCTTAGTGAGGTCCAGCTCAATTCCAAACTGCTTGGCTTATCAGCAAGCTGACAAGCTGGCACTTGCTAACATGTGCCTCAGAATACGCTCTGAAAGCTGCAGGCTGTGGTCTTGGAAGCCTAAGGCTGCTCTCCCAGGCAGCTGTTGTGTATGAGCTGTTGTGTGGCCATCTGTCCACCTGTGGGTGTTACTAAGATCCTGCTCTTAAACATGATGAAATTCAGCTGGCTGTAGGTGGAAGAATAAGACAAACTATAGCCTGTAACAATTCTTAACATTTGGATTTTGAAAGCTACTTTTTAGCTTCAATTACAATTTCATAATGATGCTTTATAATTTCTAGTCAGATCAACAAGTTTATGGATTAAGGTGCTGAAATTATTTCAGTATAATTAAGAAGAACCTTTTAAACAGAAAATATTTGTCGGTAAAGCTGTCAATTATATAGTCTTCTTTTGATGAGGACGTGGAGATCGCTTAACTTTCTGAATTCCCTGCTTTCTTGATGTTTTTTTCTCTTTCTTTTGCTTTTTCTTTTGGCTGACCTGCAAAGAGAGGTGGGGAAAAGACATTGTTTCTTCATCTTACCGTTTTCCCTTTCTTATAATTGAACTCTCTAGACTGTGGTCCTTCTTCATCCTCAAAACAGACTTAAAGTGCTTTACTCTCAAAGGGGCTCCTTTTAATTTTTTCTACTTCATCCACTTTGAGGAGGAGGCAACAGCCTTCTAATTGGTCTTCTTTTGTCCATTCTTCTGGCTCATTACTACCCTCACTCCAATCTTGCTTATGACCCAACTGTCCCAAGTACAACTTCCTGATGTTGGAGGATAGAATTGCTAAGTTAAAGTACATATATACTTAAGTCTTCTACTTAAGTATCATCTACTTCTTACCTATGGGGAGACTGAGGCTCAGAGAGTGCGATTTGCCTAAAGTTGCATAGCTAGTATGTGGTAGAACCACTGTCTATCAGACTCCAAAATCTACACTCCCAACTACATATTCTGTGTCGCTCTTCCAACATCATTCCTTAGCATGTCATACAGGTTTCTTCCCACTCTGTCCTGGTCTACTCTTTTACCTAACCCCTTAATTCCCTCCATACGAACTCCACTCACATTACTAGAGGCTCCTGGAACACAGCAAGCTCTCTCATGATTCTATCTTTCATGATGTCCTTGCCCTCGTGGTGAGCTACTTATTCTTTAAGACCTAAATCAAATGTCACCTTTTATGAAAAGTCTTCCTTAATAGTTTCTCCCTGCCCCTCCCTTCAGCAAAATTACTTATTCTTTCTTTAAGATTCTTGTACATATTTTTATTTAATATTTGAAATTGTGCTTTAATTTATTGTTAGAATATTTGCTATAGCAGGATGGTACTATCTTATTACCTTTCTATTCTCAGTGTCTACTATTCATTTAAATACACATTCATTGTGTTATATAAGAAAGATAAGCTCCCTTTGCTCATGGAACCCACATTCTAGTGGTGCGATAGACAAGTGATACTCTATGTAGGAATATAACTATACTAGAGGCCCAGTGCAATTCATGCACTGGAGGGGGGGGGGTCCCTCAGCCTGGCCTGCCCCCTCTCACAGTCCAGGAGCCCTCAGGAGCGGGAGGTGACCTGGCATTCAGGGGAAGGCGACGCCCCATCACACCTGTGCTGTTGCCACTGCTGGCAGCGCAAGCCTCAGCCGGCTCTGGTTACCTGAGCCTCTGGTGGCTCTGGGTGGCTGGGCAGCTGCCATTGAGGCTTGCCTGCACCTTGGGCTGGCCCTGGGCAGCTGGGTGGCTGAGGGGACTGGGGGACTCCAGAGGCAGGCACACGGCAAGGCTGGGCCTGCCTGGGCCCGGCCTTGCCGCACACCTGCCGCCCCGCGGGGCTGAAGGGACTGGATGCCACCATCTTTGAGGGCAGTGTAGGCAATTAGCATATCCCCTCCTTATTGGCTGTGGGTGCTGCCATCTTTGGGGGCAGGGCAGTCAATTAGCATATTCCCTCCTTATTGGCTGTGGGTGCCACCACATTTGTGATGGCACGAGGGTCAATTAGCATATCCCCTCTTTATCAGATAGGATATCAAAGTGAGGACATCATTCTAGTAACAAAACAGGAATACTATAATAAGGATTTTTTAAAATGTACCTTTAAAGGAACTACATAGATTCTTTGTCTTCCAAAGTTAATTTCTAAGAGAAAAAAAAAATTGTTCCTTCTTTTCACCAACCTGTTTCTCCCACTCTTTCATCAATTTTTTCACATTTGTTGAATCTGGGTTTAGGCATGTTTGAGTCCCATTCTTCATTGTAGCACTGCCAAGGTAATAGCAACAAGATTTTAACTTTTTAAAAAATATTTTAACTTTTAATAATTTAAATGCTTCATCTTATCCTCAGAATTCAATTCTCCAATTAGATTGTACTTGTGTCATCACTATAAGAATCTAAGAATCCCAGTCTTTTTTCCTTTTTAATTGAACAAGAGACTTAGATAAATTTCTAGGATAGCACATAACCATAAATTTAAAAACCCCACAGGTATATGCAAGGAGAGAAACATATCTAAAGATGATATTATTTTGTCCTGGAAATAGCTATTTAAGCTTAACTGAAGAAGCAAAATAGAAATGTTGTCAATATACCTACTTTCCCCCCCCAGAAACAATGAAAATCAGCATAAATTTTGCCAAATTTTCTAATGAAACTACTTAAAACATAATAAAATGTTATCCTAAGATTAACAGATTGTTTGAATTTTGTTAAATTACAGCATACTCTCCTTGAATAATTCAAAGATGTTTTTTTCTTTAATTTATCAATATAATCTGAGAATAAGAATAGCCAGTCTATATATCATTCTCGATTTAGGCTTCAAAAGACTTAAGTATACATGTACTTTAACATAGCAATTCTAATCTCTAGAAAGGTATTATTAGTAGGAAAGAATTCAAGACACAATATTGCCATAATAAGAATTTGATTTCAATAGGAAAAAATAGAAAATAACCTACAATTAGCATTGGCTATACGGATTATGATACATGCATATGATGGAATATAATTTGACCATTAAAAATGACATTATCAGAAAAAGATGGTATTATGACAGAAGATTTACTGACATGAAGAAACGTTCATGATATAGTATTAATGAAAAAACAGTATGTAGGGTATGATTTTATATTTGTGTGCATATATATTGTATTTATAAATATATGTATGTATTTTTTGTGTCTATATATGTACACACAAAGCAAATGAGAGAGATCTGGAAAACCACATAGCAAGAGATTAAAAGCATTTGTCACTGGATGGTAGCATTATAAATAATATTTTTTTTTTGGGTTATCTGCATTAAACATTTTCTCCAATGAACATATATTACTTTTGTGATATGTCTTTGTTCCTAACCCCCACCAGAAATTACTTGTTGGTTGTTGGCTTGTTTTGTTTGTTTGTTTTGGGGTTTGTTTGTTTGTTAGAAAAGCAAGAAGTAGGCAAGACTTGCAGAGGAGCAACAATCTGAATTTTAAGTGTCTGTATAGGCAAGCATTCCGAGGGTAATAATCACACTAAATTTAATGTTCCTGCCAATAAGATGCATGCATGTTGGATGAGATTTTACTTACATGATTTCAGTTTTCTCACAAGAAGGACTTGGGGAAAACTGTTTAAGGTCCTTTAAGGATTTTAGGTGGATCATCCCTTGGTTGGTGTTGATGCAGAAACAGCTTCCTTTCTTCATTATTGGGACTCCTAAGAGAAAGGGAAAGGGTAGCACACACTGGGCAATGGCAATGTCTCAATTTAGGTGATCCATCAAAATGATACATTTGACTTAATCATGGTTATTACTATCATTTCCTGAGTTTCTAATAATCATTACCACAAACTCTGAAATAGGTATCACTTTCATTTTATAGACAAAGAAGCTCAAGTTCAAAGAAGTAAAGAACAAAGGCATTCAGCTTTTAGGGGGCAGGGAAAGGGTTTGAATCCAAAGGCATTGCTCTTAACTACCATATTCTACAACCTTAAGAAAAAAGATTTTCACAATATTTAATAAATGCCTCTTGCAGGTCAGACACCTAATTCATGGGTGCTATGTGGGCCACAGTTTCCTAAGCAATTTCCAAAGCCGTTTTATTACATGACCTTGCAGTTGGTGTTGGTTTAGACAGAACGCTCTACATATAATAACCAGTTACCACCACCATCCTCCTCCTCCTCACTGCCTTGCTTTTCAATAGTGCTTTAAACTTTTGGAAATTCTTTAAAATACACTGTCTTCATTCCTTAATTCTTTCATTTATTCAACATGTATCATATATTTACTTAGTGCTTACTATATGCCATACATCATGAGGTAGAGAAATCATAACTATAAAATATCCATTTTTCAGCTGAGGAAACTGAAGTCTAGAAAAGTTCACTAATTTGCTTAAGGTAACAAAGGCCAACAGGAAACAAGTTAAGAACAATGTCTCTGATTATTGGATCTTTAATTGATTAAGCACAGAAATACTTATCAAGAAACAATATTAGAGTAAAAAAAATAACTTGAGAGTCTTTAATCTCATTATCTACAGTTCAATAAACATTTATTGAACATTTACAACATGTAGGAGTTCAAACACCAACACTGAGAAGACTCTTTATTTGGCAAGTCTAAGATAGGAACTTGGGATAATCAACCACATCAATGAGCTTTATGAGTGACTCATCACTTTCTGATGCATGCAATCACCTCTATTGGGCAATTCAAGAGACTTTTATAGCCATTTACATCTCTGAGTTTATTAACCTAATGTGAATCAGAACCCCTTACCTTGAACTTCAATCAGAGTCAGGAAGATGATACCCAAAAGGAGAGAAACACCACTTTTCTTCATAGCGGTAGAATGGAGTTCTACTGAGTCACTCCTCTATTGGAATTCAAGCCTGGGAAATTGTTTAGAGAACATGCTATTGAAAATCATATTTATATAGGAAAATATTTCCCTCCGAAACTCTGATTGGCTAGTATTCTTAGCTGATCTAGCTAAATTGACCACAAACAATTGTGCTAGGGGAAACCCTACTCTCAGATCCAAGGGAATTTCTGCATGATTTATAGCCATTTCACATAAATGGGTGGTTTATAGTAAGGGATGTGAAACCAGTATCACTGGCAGCCTTTAGTATACTCACAGCTGCTCACCTAGGGTGAAGAATAGGTTATATAATGATATCATACAACAAGAGTTGGAAATGTGGTTTCCAGATGGGAAATACTGAAGTCCAGATAAGTAAAACACTCTTCAAATTTCCTTACTATTTATATAATATATGGCTGACTTATTTTTTCTTAATCTATGATAATTTCCTCCAGGACCAGGTCATTTCCTACTGTGATAAGCTTCCTTTGTTTTTTATGCCATCGCTGCTACAGTTTATTGTTATTTTTTTAAAAATATTTTTTATTGATTTTTTTTTTTACAGAGAGGAAGGGAAAGGGATAGAGAGTTAGGAACATCAAAGAGAGAGAAACAGATCAGCTGCCTCCTGCACTCTCCCTACTGGGGATGTGTCGGCAACCGAGATACATGCCCTTGACCAGAATCGAACCTGGGACCCTTGAGTCTGCAGGCTGACTCTCTATCCACTGAGCCAAACCGGTTAGGGCTATTGTTATTTTTAATGGTTGAATTAGTTATAGAATAAGGGATCAGTTGATGTGACACGGCACCAGAGTTAAGTTAGGGTTTTTCAAATGCTGACACGCCAAGCTCAAAAGGTTCACCATCACTGGCCTAGAATTTATAAGAAAATTCTACAACATAGCAACAGCAGCAACAACAACAAACCTGATTTTAAAAAGGGAGAGAAATTCTTCTTTGCTTGTATCAACGAAAACAATCAACAGAGTGAAAAAACAACTTATGGAATGGGAGAAAATAATTGCAAAACATATATCTGATTAGGAGTTAATGCCTAACAGTGATGGCAAACCTATGACACGCGAGTTAGAGGTGACATGTGAACTCATTTTTTGTTTGATTTTTCTTTGTTAAATGGCATTTAAATATATAAAATAAATATAAAAAATATAAAATATAACTCTTTGTTTTACTATGGTTGCAAATATCAAAAAATTTCTATATGTGACACGGCACCAGAGTTAAGTTAGGGTTTTTCAAATGCTGACACGCCAAGCTCAAAAGGTTCACCATCACTGGCCTAGAATTTATAAGAAAATTCTACAACATAGCAACAGCAGCAACAACAACAAACCTGATTTTAAAAAGGGAGAGAAATTTGAATAGACATTTCTCTAAAGAAGATATACAAATGGCCAATAAGCACAAGAAATGTTCAACATTATAATTATAAAAGACAGGGAAATGCAAATCAAAACCACAATGATATATTATCTCATATTCATCAGGATGCCACTATCAAAAATTAGAAAATAACAACTGTTGGTGTGGATATGGAGAAGGAGGAATGCTTGTGCACTATTGGTGGGAATGTAAAATAGTGCTTCCATTATGAAAAAGAATAGGGAGGCTCCTCAAAACATTAAAAATAGAATGACCATATGATGCAGCAATTCCTCTTCTGGGAATAGACCCAAAAGAATTCAAAGAAGGATCTCAAAGAGAAATTTGCTAACCCATATTCATGGTAGCATTATTCACAACAGCCTTATTTGCAAAGGTGAAGTGACCCAAATGTCTACTGACAGATGAATGGATGAAGAACATGTGGTATATACAAGCAATGAAACTTTAAGCAGCCTTAAGAAAGAAGGAAATCTTGTCCCATGCTACAACATGGATGGACTTTGAAGAGATTATGCTAAGTGGAATAAGCCAGTCACAAAAGGAGAAATACTCATCTGAAGTATTTAAAGTCAAATCTAGAAGTAGAAGATAGGAAGGTTGCTGCCAAGGGATTGGGAAGAGGGTGAGGTGAAATTAGTCTTTAGTAGGTTTTAGAGTTTCAGAGTTGAAAAATGAAAAAGTTCTAGAGATCCATTGTATAATAATGTGAATATACTTAAGACTACTGAACTGTACACTTAGAAATTGTTAAAATTGTAAATTTCATGTTATGCATTTTTGTTACCATAATAATTAAAAAACAAAAATAGAGTAATGCTCTGGCTGGTGTGTCTCAGTTGCTTGAAGCATTGTCCCTGTACACTGAAAGGTTGTAGGTTCAATTCCCAGTTAGGACATATACCCAGGTTTCTGGTTTGATCCCCTCTGGGGGTGTGTACAGGAGGCAACCAATTGATGTTTCTCTCTAATATCGATGTTTCTCTCTCTTCCTTTCTCTCTCTCTCTCAAAAAAAAAAAAAGAGAGAGAAAGGGATCAGTTGCATGTAATGGAAACCCAAATTAATAGTGGCTAAGATATATGCATTTCTCCTTGAAAGAGGCAGGTTGATTAGAGTGTGTATGGTGGTTCTGCTCCATGAGGTCTCCTAGGTTCTATCTCATTGATTCACTGCCGTCTCCAGGTTGCTGCCCTCTTGCATATGGCCCAAGGGTCTTTGCCACCATGTCTGCTTTCCAAGTACAGGATGGTGGGAAGGCAGAAAAGGGATTGTTCCTCATTTTTAGACCCATCCTGGGATTGTACTTGTCACTTTCCATCATCTCCCATAAGCCAGAACTTAGTCACATTGCCATACCTATCTGCGGGGCAGGTTAAGAAATGTGACCTTTATTCTGGTGATCCACTAAAGTTTGGAGGTTCATTATTATAGAACAATGTTTCTCAACTTTTTTTTAAAATTAGTGCTTCTCCTGAGATTAATTAAATTTAAATTAACTTAAATTTAAATTAAATTATGCCCTGGCCAGGTTGCTCAATTGGTTAGAGCATTGTTCCATACACCAAAAAGGTGGGTTTGATTCCTGGTCAGGGCACATACCTACGTTGCAGGTTCAATTCCCATTTGGGGCACATACAGGAGGCAACCAATCAATGTTTTTCTCTTTCTTTTCCTCTCTCTCTGTCTCTCTTTTTTAAAAATATGTTTTTTATTGATCTCAGAGAAGAAGGGAGAGGGAGAGAGAGATAGAAACATCAATGATTCTCATTGATTGGCTGCCTCCTGCACACCCCACATTGGGGATCAAAGCCACAACCCACTGACCGGGAATCAAACCATGATTTCTGGTTCATGGTCGACGCTCAACCACTGAGCCAAACCGGCTGGGCTCTTACTTTCTCTCTTAAATCAATAAACATATCTTTGGGTGAGGAAAAAAATTACTTCGTAAATTAAATTTTTCCTAAAGAAAAAAATTAAATAGTCATGCACTGCATAATGGTTTTTTGGTCAACGATGAACCGCATATATGAGGGTGGTCCCTTCATATATGTTATAATAATGACATAATGTTATAATAAAATTATAATGGAGCTGAAAAATTCCTATAACCTAATGCTGTAGCTATTGTAACATCATAGTATAAAGATTGCAAAAGTCAACATGGCTGTGGTTGAGATTGTAAACCACTTTAACCTGCGTGTGGATGAAGATCACACCAAGAAGTTGTTCCTGCCCTAACTGGTTTGGCTCAGTGGATAAAGTGTCGACCTGCGGACTGAAAGGTCCCAGGTTCAATTCCGGTCAAGGGCATGTACCTTGGTTGCAGGCAAATCCCCAGTTGGGGGTGTGCAGGAGGCAGCTGATCGATGTTTCTCTCTCATCGATGTTTCTAACTCTCTATCCCTCTCCCTTCCTCTCTGTAAAAAATCAATAAAATGTATTAAAAAAATAAAAATAAAAATAAATGTTACCACAAAAAAGAAAAGAAAAAGAAGTTGTTCCTGAGGAACTGATGAAGGAGGAGTTGTTGGATAGCCTAGCTGAGCAAAGGAGGCAAGAGCCAAGAAAACTGCTGAAGAAGAAAAAGGAAACCTCAGAAAACTCGGGAACATCAAGATGCCGGCTTACCATTCTTCTCTCATGGACCCTGACACCAAACTCACTGGGAAACATGGCACTGTTGCCCATCAGAAGTCAGTTCAAAGGACCTGCCCCTAGAAAGACAAAAGACACAGATTTTGTGGATGAAGCCATCTATTATTTCAAGGCCAATGACTTCTTCAAAAACCATGAAATTAAGAATAAAGCTGATAGGACCTTGATATACACAACTCTCTACATTTCTGAGTGTCTAAAGGAACTCCAAAAGTGCAATTCTAAAAGCAAGGCGAGAAAGAAATGTATAGACTAGGAATCACTAATTTTCCCATTCCCAGAGAGCCCGGTTTTCCACTTAACACAGTTGACACCAAACCTGCAAACAAATAGGAAGACAAAGTGATGAAGGCCTATTGGCAGCAGTTAAGGCAAGGGGCTGGATTGAGACTTTGTAAGTTTTTGAGCCTCAGAATGAGAAACCCAGCAAGTGGTAGACTTGCTTTGTGAAGAGACAATTCATAAACAAGAGTCTTCTAGAACCTGGACAGTAAAGAGAGTGGGGCAGACACTGTTCCCATAGCTGTGGGCAGCATTTTACAGCAAGATGAACATAGTTCTTTGCCTGTATTTAATAATTTTCCTGTATTTTAATACAGTAAAAAAGAAGAAAACTCAGTGAAGCGTTTAGCAGAAGCTTTTGCAGACCTTAGCAAGCTCCTTAAAACGTTTGAAAACATGGACCTCAACACCAAAAGGTTTTCATTAATAAAGTGCAAGAAAGGAAAGGGTGTTTAAGCAGCGGCTCCAACTTGATCAGTAACCAAAGGAATATAATAAGTTCCTAACCAAGGCCATCCGAAGGACCAGCCATGTACACTTTCCAACAGCTCCAATTAAAAAGATAAATGATTATAGGAGGCAGTGCCGCCGAAACCGTTTTGGCTCAGTGGATAGAGTGTCGGCCTGTGGACTGAAAGGTCCCAGGTTCGATTCTGGTCAAGGGCATGTACG